TCATTTGAAATCATTTAATATCGTCATCAACAGTCCCACGTAGATAATAATAATTCATAATTAAACTATGCAAATAATTCATAATAAATGTAAATATTCAAACTACGAAACAGGGAGAGCAGTATCTTGACTCGGGGTTCATCGAATGAATCGACGTTGACGCGCGAGTCCGCAGGTCTGATCTGAGCGCGGGTCCGAAGAGCATCGGTCGAAGCTGTTGGGGACTGCCGTCAGCAGGAGAGGTTGTCGACGACCGTCGACGGGTGAGGACAGCGGGCGAGCTCGGGCAGCCAACTGGCGAAGGGCGCTTGAGCGAGGGTGAAGGCAGCAGCGATGAGGACTTGGGGGAGGACAGCGAGGTGCTCGGTGGAGGTCAAGGGGGATGTGGCGATGGGGACTGTCAGTGGCACGGGTAGAGGGGTTTGGGCGGCGGATCTGGACTGAGGCGGCACGAGGAGGAGGGCGGAGATGCGGCTAAGGGGAGGTGGCTGCAGTGTTGGGGCGGAGATTTGGTGTGTGGCTGGTGAGGCCGGCGTTGAGGGGTGCGAAGACGCTGGCGGCGAGGGCAGAGGCGGAGTCGGGTTCGAGCTCGGCGACGGTCGAACTGAGGGAAGAGGAAGTGGGTTCGAGGCAGTCGAGGGTCGGCGGCAGCGAGCAAGGGGGAGAGATCAGGGAGAGAGGAGTATAGTGGTTGCGGTGTTTTGGGGAAGAAGAGAAATAGACAGAAAAAAGAGGAAAATAACAATATATATATAGGAAATTAGGGTTTTAAAAATTAATTTAAAATAATATTAATTACAAAATAAATTAAATAATTATGTGAAAATTATCTACACTTCAAAACGTACCAGTTGTAGTATTACAACCGATAATACGCAACAGTAGAAATAATACAAGAAATTATATAATAAAACAAGAATAATTAATAAAAAATATAATTTCTTATATTTAAAATCAAATAATTATGGGATAATTATATACATAATAAAACGTACCAGTTATACTAATATGACAGATAATATGTAATAATAGAAATAATACAACAAATTATACAAATAATACGTAATTAATAATACAATGTATTATACAAAAATATACATAATAATAATAATAATACCACGTATTATTCAAAATGATACATAATAGTATCGGTAACACAACGGATAAATTCTAGAAATTTTCACCGCACAAAAATTAATTTATAAATATTAATATCATTTAAATAAATATAAAACATGGAATTTAAATCATAGAAAAATCTAGAAAATCAAGAAAAATACAAATACTCTTTTAAAAATCATAATTAAATATTTTAAAATACTAAAAAATAATTTTAACTAGTATTAAAAATTCATGGTCCTTACATTTTCTCTTCAACAAGCCATCGGGGTGCAAAAATCAAACTGCTTTTGTTGTTGATGGTTTTGATAGTTGGAAGAAAATTCGAAGCGGAAAAGCATGTGCTTTCCTAGGCCATATAGGAAAAGATAATGTATCTTCACTCCATCGTAATGCTGAAAAGGCATGTGAGGATTTGATGAACCAACTGCAGCATATATCAAGGCAATTCGACAACTTCAATGCTGAACAAGTTGCAACAAATCATCTTCGGTTAAGAGCTCACATACTTGTGGTGCGATTGCTTGCACTCCAAGGGATTCCGTTTAGAGGCCACGATGAGAAATCTAGTTCGTCCAATCGTGGCAATTTTCTTGAATTTTTAGATGTGCTAGCCATGGAGAATAATAAACTTTCAAAGGCAATTGCGAAAGCTCCCAAAAATGCCAAATATACAAGTCATGGTATTCAAAAACAAATACTTCATGTGTTTTCAGTGAGATTGAAAAATGCAATTCGTGAAGAAATTGGAGTTGCCAAGTATTGCATCATTGTTGATGAAGCCCGTGATGAGTCAAAAAAAGAGCAAATGTCTATTGTGTTGTGGTTTGTGGACACTAATGGATTCATTCAAGAACGTTTTTTTGGGCGTGTTCATGTTTCCGATACTGCAGCTTTGACTTTAAAGAACGTCATATATTCTGCTTTGGCTCATTACAATTTGGATGTTCAAAATATTAGAGGTCAAGGTTACGATGGGGCTAGTAATATGAGGGGTGAATTCAATGTATTGCAAGCTTTGATTATGAAAGATTGTAAGACTGCTTACTATGTTCATTGTTTTGCTCATCGGCTACAGTTGGCTCTTGTTACGGCAGCAAAAAATCTGACTCCTATTCATATGTTTTTTTGATAAATTAATTTCTGTAGTTAATATGGTTGGTGCTTCTTGCAAGCGTAATGATGAATTGAAGAAAGCTCACGCGGATGACATTGCCCATTTGATTTCTATTAATGAACTCGAGACAGGGCCTGGACTTAATCAGATCGGCACTTTACAAAGAGCTGCTGATACGCGTTGGAGTTCTCATTTCAGATCATTATCAAGTTTGATCAGGATGTTCAGTGCAGCATGTACGGTGTTGCTCAAAGTTATGGAGGATGGGCTTCCTTCCAAACGAGCCGATGCAACATCTGTTTATGATGAAATGACTTCGTTCGATTTTGTATTTATCTTGCATCTAATGAGTGAGATTATGGGGATCACAGATTTTCTTTACCAGACTTTACAAAGGAAGTCTCAAGACATTTCGAATGCAATGGAGCTTGTGTCATCTACAAAAAGATTATTACAAGAGTTAAGGGATGACAAGTGGGATAATTTGCTTGAAAAAGTGAAGTCTTTTTGTGTGGCTCGTAACATTAATATTTCTAATTTTAGTGCTCAGTATGCTGTTAGACGACGTCGAGCTCGTAGTCATCAAGACATCACCATTGGGCACCATTATCGAGTAGACTTTTTTGTTCCGTGGTGAATCACTTTTTTTGTGCCGCGATCGATTCACAAATGCAAGAAATTAATGTGCGTTTTAGTAAAGATGCGACAGAATTTCTTATGCTTAGTTCTACCTTAAATCATCAAAATGCATCTGAGGCTTTGAGAATACAAGATATATGCAAATTGGTTGGCAAGTTTTATGCACAAGATTTTACAAGTGAAGAAAAAGAGAGTTTGAAGATGCAACTGAAACATTATGAGCATAATGTAGTCAAAGGGTCAGACTTCAAAACTCTTTCAACCATTTCTGAGTTGTGTCAATGGTTGGTAAAGACTAATAAATCTGCTACATACGACCTCATTTTTAGAGTGATCGTACTTGTGCTTACTCTTCCAGTTTCTACTGCTACTGCAGAACGATCATTCTCAGCTATGAATATCGTCAAGACTAGGCTTCGAAGCAAAATGGAGGATGATTTCCTCTCCGGCGCATTAATGGTGTTTATTAAAAGAGAAATTGCTAAAAGTATAAGCATTGATGCTATCATTGAAGACTTTAAAAATTTTAAGGAACGTCGAATTCCTTTTAGTTAGAGAAATTTTAGCTATAAAAAAATTGATGATGCTTATTTGACTATTTTCTATATAATATTTGTCTTCCTCTTTTGAAATATTTCGGAGATATTGATGTTAGCTATTCTACTCGTTTTATTTTGGTTGCGGTATATCTCTTGTGAATAAAATTACATTAAAAAAATTTATCTATCTTTTGTACACAACCCCCAAAACTAAAATCTTGGATCCGCCCCTGTCTTTGTTATACATTGATAAATCAAAACACAAATCTCACTACGACCCATTGGCTTGTACTAATTTGAAGGATTTTGGCGATGACATGAACATTTTTTTGTTTGATAGCAGGGAATAGAAAGAAGCTAAGGATGGAACAGGAAGAGATCGACGGGTACAACTTTGACCATAGTCAAATTTTATATAATTTAATGAATATTATAATAATATTAAAATGCGATGACTACTAGTGTCACTTGTCAAGTTCGAATTAACTGGAGCTGGCCAGATTGATGCTCGATACGTACCCAAGAATTTTTCTATGCTCACGCTGAGGCGACGCTGCGTTGGCATTAGTGAGGTGTTTGCATTAATAACTGGAAAGAGAAAAGGTATTCATCTTCAATCTTGTGTCCATCTTTCATATTCCAAGTATTCCTCTTTCATTTTCTCGGTGAGACCCACCCACAGCAAGCTTCACCCCTTCCATTGAAATAAAAATACTGTTTAAATTTTTATGGTCGAGGCAAATATGATGCTCAATTTATCACACACTAAAATTACTTGGTTTATTACACTAGCACATATTAGAGAGGATGAAACCAGACACATGCAAACTACAGAATTAATTTTCTTCCATTAATTAGGATTCTGTGGAAATATTATTTACAACCTTGCTTCTTTGATGCTGTAGCTAGCATGTAACATATCTTCGTTTCGTCCAGTACACCATCATTAATACTGCCAAGAAGGAGCAGAACTATTTCGATCATCATACGGCAGCAATCATGATTGATATCTAATGACAACAAAATGATAATAAACATAATTTTTAGCTTTAGGGTTGATTTTAGTACTGTAAAAGGAATTATGCTATTCACAAGCAATAGATACGAAACATACATGTTTATTGCGTTACTCAGTTGAAATCCTAATGCAAATTCCTTTTCTATTCATCCTCCAAATTTAGTTCAACCACGAGGAAACAAACAATAATATTTTTTTTTCGTTCAATTAAAGAAGTGAAGCATGCTGTAATTGGTTTCATAGAGATGGGAGGGAATGAAAAAGGAATAAGAGAGAGAAGATGAACCGTTAGTGAGAGAACTGAGAATTTTCTTTTCCAAACCATGTGCAATTAACGCAAAACACCTCAATAATCTCACCCCAGGCCATCTCAGCTTTAGGGCCGAAGTAGTTGGAAAAAAAAAGTAGTACGGTCATCATTTCTCCACGTTTTATCCGCTTGTGACCGGATCATCCGACAAGAAAATTGCAACAAAGCTCAAAAGAGTTTCAGATGATATAGCAATCAAGCTATCAGCACAAGGGGGAAAAAAATACTAATACCGGCTAGGACTAGTGACAAACAAGAACATTATAATTCTTCGTTGCGTCTCAAATTGTCTGCATCCGTATGCAAAGCGCATATCATCATTACAATACGTAATAATAAATGGCGGCTAAAACGTCTTGAAAAATTAAGACGCGCCTACATGAGTACCATATACCATGAAAATTGATACACAGGGAATACAAATAAAATCTATATCACACACTCATGCGATAATTTCTTTATTATGACAAAGCTTCATAATACAAGTCTCTATGCTGCCAATTCCCTATTAGACAACATTTGTTTTTTAATGCGAAAACTGCTCCAGTTGCTTGTAAATGTACCAACTAATTCAACATAGAATTTTTATTAATAGGATAAATTTGACCATAACTGATCTCAAGAGGCTATATACTTCACAACAAATTTGAAGCGAGATTTTTTTTGAAAAAATAAATCATCAATTCAGAGTGATGAACGGTTCAAACACCTTTTCCACCTTCCAAGCTTCTCCTTGCCCTAAAAGTAACAGTTGGAAGAATGATGTAACATCAAAAAGTACGAACATAGGAAAATGTTTAATGATAGTTAAGCTACAGAAGTTCAGGAATATGAGACTCAAAATATATACAACAACAACAAACTCTTTATCCCAAATTTCTGGGGGCAGGCATCAAAATATACAAAGTAAAAAAAATGCATGTACAATTTTTTTAAAAAAAATAAGCATTAAATCAGGTAGAGCTAAAACAAATTTATTTCACACTGTTATGACGCAAAAAAGGATCCTCCGAAGCTTCAATCTAACTTGTAAAAGAACAAGTCTTTGCAGAAGTATGTCAAGGATAATCTCTATAGCATGTCTTGGTCTTATTACTCTTCTTTTTATTGGGAGAAGCTAGGTTTTTTAATTTAGTAATGTTTTGCACCTATGCAACATATAGTAACATCAAGGAGAGAACTTTTTTGATATTTGATGCTCTATTGATAATATAGATTGGTTTCTTCTTTCTCAGAATTAGTAATCATTACCTTCTGGAAAATCCCACATTTCAAATCAAATTGATGGTTGAAGCCAAATGCAGTAGCTTATATGTTTACTTTTGTTATTATTTGGTTACGTACATTATAATCGATAAAATTTTATGAGTAAACAAATTGTATTATATTTGTCGTTTAAAGCTGTAATTGAGTTATTATAGCAGGTAGACTTTAGATCTTTCTTTTGTAGTTTTACACGCAAACCTATCATATAAATCCTTTGAACAGTGGATTTCCAGCCAATAGGTTGACAGGTTCTAAAGTTTTGTGAGGTTTACTGCCAGAACTTGGACAGCAATTATGAAAATTTTGCTGAGTATAACAGTCAGATTGAAAACACAAGATCCTGTGCTGGGGCAACTTCTAAAGTTTTGTGAGGTTTACTGCCAGAACTTGAACAGCAATTATGAAAATTTTGTTCAGTATAACAGTCAGATTGAAACCACAAGATCCTGTTACTAGGGAAACTGCATCAATAAAATATTATTTAATATAAAAATATAGTTGAATTAGTTTACCCTGCGTGGCGCGATTGCTAGATCATTGTCCACAATTGAGAGGGCTTTGAAACCTACTGGGTTCAGCACTTCCTCGTAGCTACAAATAAAAGACAGAGGAGCATCAATAGTTATACTGTTATAGTATTCGTTGGAAACACCACCAATCTTTTTAACCCTCAGCATATACAACTAAGTGCAACATAATAAAGATACAGAAGTTTAGATATATCGAATAGAAACAGACTTACTCAGCAATAGAATTATTATATGGCGGTCCACTTTCCTGATCATTGATCTGACACCAAAAAAAACAATACACTCCAATAACAAATGTTTTTGACGAAAAAAGGATCATAGATAATAACCAAAAGAAAAATATGGTAGTAATACAATAACCATGTCATAGTATATAGATACTGAACAACAAACTCGGACTTTATCCAACTATCTTGTAATAATCAAATTAGAAAGTTGTTAAAACCAATACATTATACACTCAATAATACTGTGATAGAAATGTTCACCACCACCATTATGCACAACATGCCTACTAGCAAATCACATGCAAAAATTTTCTTTACTTTTATCCTCAAAAATTCTCTCTCTCCACGTAAAACAATGAAAATGACAACTCCTAGAGGTGGTGGTATCCTATTTCTAGAAAAATTTAAAATTCAACCCTAGATAACTCAATCTAAACGATAAAATCAAATATCCCATTTAAGGTCCTAAGAGATACAATCAAATCCAAAATTTGAATTTCTAACAACTTTTAACTACTTTTATTTGTATCAGATATAATCTATGAATTTTTCCGGCCTCAAACCCCACAACAACAACAACACCACTCAATTGCATTGTGCGCCATGAGAGCGAGGTTGGGAGTCCCTCCACCCAATATATAAAATAAGATGCATTTAGTTCAATTAGTTGTAGGTTATCAGCAAAAGGATGTTTAAAAAAATCCCTAAATCAAATGGGTTACATGACACAATAAAAATCATTCTACTACTCAGTGGATGCAACTTTAAATTTGATTTTGTTTAAATGAACAAGACTGTACAATGAAATTTCAGAATATTAGAGAATTTGATATACAAAATTAAGTTGAAACATAATGTTTTAATAAGCTAACTTAGAGGATTTGATATACAACATTACTTTTGACAATAACTACGCTCGAGTATATTTAATTTAATAGGACAACAGACTAGTATGCCTCAACATCATTATTGGAAGAACTCAAAATTTCTAATGGATACAAGGAACACTAAGTAAATTACTGTAATTTCTCATGAAAAAGTTAACATCCTACTTTGATTAAATTGAATATAATACCTCCTAGACATTTCTACTGACTTTTCCTATATATCAGCTACAGTAAAATTTAAAACAACTAGTTTGATCTTTGAAGGAAAATATCACCATAATCTCCCAAAGCTGCTGGCAAACAACTAGTTGAGGCATGCCTCATACAAATTGGAAAAAGTAGTAAGACTGGAAAAAGAAGAAACCTCACCAGATATATAAGTGTTATGAGCTCTCCATCTGGTTTTAAAATATCAGCCATTTTCTTTGCCCAAGCTCACCAGATATATAAGTGTTATGAGCTCTCCATCTGGTTTTAAAATATCAGCCATTTTCTTTGCCCAAGATGGCCTCATGCAAGGGTCTATGGCACTCTCCATCTGGTTTTAAAATATCAGCCATTTTCTTTGCCCAAGATGGCCTCATGCAAGGGTCTATGGCAAAAAAAAACCTGCAATATTACACCCAAATGATGAATTCAGATAAGAACAAGAAGATGAAGCATTCTAAATGAAAGAAGTGAAGCTTTACGTGTAATCAAAAACCATATCGAACAATTCTGCTGGCTGCCAAGTAAAAAAATCTGCTGCCACAAAGTCGAAATAATTTGCATTTGGAAAAGAGGATGACCACTGATTCAAAGGAGATAATAAAGGGTTAGATGTAACACAGAGACCTAATTTCTGAGCCATATATATGTAACCAGAGCGCTACTATATTGCTGGATTTCGGTAAGAGGCATAAGCTATAATGAGAGCAATGAGTGCAGGAAATGCAAAAAAATGGACAAGTAAACTGCATACACAGGTTTTTTTTTTAATATTGGCACAGCTGTGCATCAGTTGAGAATGAGAACTCATTCTGAAGTTTAAATGATATGTCAAATATTTCTCAATCAACTAATGTATATCACCATTCTGAATTTGACATGTATCTTATATTTTTATTTATCAAACTAACTTATCAGCTTATATCTTAAATATATACAGCCTTAAAATCATATTATATTATCAGGTAAAACGTAAGTCCATAGTCTAGGAAAAAAAAGGTGTCCCTTAGCACAAGCATATGCTGCCTACATATGCTGCCTATTTCATTAGAGGGTTTTCACATCTCATTATTCGAAGGGAGAGGTAATTCTGAAAATAACAAATATATGAGGGTAAATCTGTGGGAAAAAAAACTTGACTAAATCACTGTGAACATGTCATTGTGATGTTCAATTAGCGAGAAGAATTGTGGACTTTGAGCACACACTTCAATCATGGGCCGCAAAATAGCACATGCAGAAACAATTCGCTCTGCAATATATGATTTGCCTCATTCAACAAAACTGACGTCAGCAAAACAGTACACAATTAGCTACCTGCAATATTCACGTGAAAAATACTCTTCAATATGAAAAAGAAGAAAATTATATTCTGATCGGCCTTTTACTCAATTTAATACTGTAGAAATAATGCACCGAAGATATTTCATTTATCATTATTTTCTTTTCAAAATGTCATATGATGCTTTTTTAATCTCTGTGCACATTTCACAGCCGGAAGTCAACTTCAAGCACAAAGTGCATCTCTATCCTAATTTCTGCCTAATGGTATGTTTCTTGCCTTCCTGATTTCTGCCTAATGTTATTTTTATACTTCATCATCAAGATTTTTCTGCATGAAACACCTTCATAGAGTAAACCTATGTTACCTAGGTCCTTCTACAATGGAGCTATAACCGTACCCGACACGCTTCATACCCATACCCGTACCCGACACTTCTTGGACACTTCTTAAATATATGCATATATTTATTCAGACCTTTACTCAGTTACACAATGCATGTTTAATTAAAAACACTCATCATATACTTCTTGGATATACATCCAACACTTCACATCCATTTTGTAACTTGTTGGATAAGGTTCAAGTTCGTTTCAGCCTTAAGATCTATGATTTAAAAAGGTCATTTACATATGTAAATAGCGCAAAACTATGATTATATCCCATGAGTTTTAGCCGTGTCCCCCTACCCAACCTTTTACAATTTGCCATGTCCTGTACCCGTACGCGCATCCATACCTATGCAATTTAACCTCTTCCACCTGGTTTCTAACTGAATAGCTGATACAACCATTATCTACATAAAGTGATTCGATGATAAATCTCACTGAATAGGAAGGAAATTTTGCTATTTCGGTGAAGTTTCAGTTTTTTCAGTCTTAATTGAGGAAAGATTTGACCAAGATAGCTAGATTTATCATACTCAAATCGCTCTATGTAGGCTAATACTGCATGAAACAACCGCATAGAGTAGTAAACAAATGAAGCGCGTTGTAATAAAAAGTTTCATGTTTTCACTTCTCTCCTCTAGTAATAATACCTCTTTGGCTTTCTTAACAGCATTTCTTGATACATCCAAGCCTACAACATGACGATCAGGGCTGGCCATAGCAACCACATCATACCCCTGACATAAAGATCAGTAAGTCAGAATAGTCCAGCTACAATAGAACTGTGGAAGGAAAAACATATGAATAAAACTGAAAATTCAAATAATTACAAAGGCTAGCCTGAAATAAATAGCGTAACTATATATCACTGTTTTAAATATCCTCGACATGGCCGAGATGTCGGGCCGATATATCCTTTCATAAGGCTTTCCACAAAACGATATGGGCTCGATATCTTTTATCGCTTTTTAGGGAATTTTGGGCAATATATCCCTAAAATGGCTGATATATCAGCTGATATTTGGCCGATATGTCATTTTATTTGTCTTGTTGCAGAACAATATATTGCTTTTGGCAAGGCGATTTATGATGATTTCCCTAATATGTCAAGTGACATTTCAGCCTTAAAAAATTGACTGAAATGTTGCAATCCCAACTTCTTTTATTGATTTTAAAAGATTGGTTAGTGACCCTAAATTTATATTATCTACATTTTTGTATGCTCGGATTTAATTAGGTATGTCCAAATAACATTTTGGGACATCTATGCACATCATTCAATATGTTACTCCGATATTTCCTATATATCCCCGATATTTCCCCAATAATCGCAATCCGATATAGATTTGGGTCGTCGGATATTTTCCCGATGTCCGATATTTAAAATCTTGCAATATGTGAATCACCTGACCATATGAGGGATAACATGTCTGAAACACATGGAATCAAAGAGCTATAATTGAAAGATTTTAGTCTAATAATTAAAGCATTAAGTCCACATGCAATAACCATGAAGGCATACTTGCAAGCTAATTATTTTTTTATTTATTATCTTTGGAAAACCCGCATACATACTTACAAGCTATATAGCACGGACACGGATCCGACACGGCCATCCGACACGCCGACACGAGGCAAATCCTAAAAAATACATAGGATACGTGTGTTCGACACATGTGTCCGACACGGACACGACACGGCTTCATGTTATGCGTGTTCGTGCTTCATAGATTACAAGTAACATGTTCTTTCTTTTCTGTCTTTAGTCGACTTTGTAAAAATCGCATAAAAGTTACCAATTAGCACAAACTAGTCATAAAATTGAGAAGCTTAGCTAAGAAAGTCTTTTTTTCTAAGTGGGAAATTATCAGTGACCTGAAGGTAAATTTACCTTACTCTCTGGTAGAATATAAGAAGAGAGGGAAAGGAGCTTTTAATAGCGTGGTTCATTTCCATAAGCCAATCACTGACTAACTATTGGACTAAAAAGCATATAGTCCATTATTTTTCCTTTTGATTAAAGTGCCAAAATAAATGAAGGCATGCATGATAGCAGAGGATCTTCTTCTTTACAACATAAACATAAGTTTGAACTGTTATCTTGAAAGGTGACATTAACCCGGAGAGAGTCTGTCATCTTTACATATGGAGAGAATCTGTTCAGGATTATAAGGACTCTCAATCTGGGACTAAAAACAGAATAAATTCAACTCTAACTAAACAACACACTAATACTCTACATCAAGCTGGAGCATAGATGTCAATCATGTCTAGCTTGTTACAAAGTGATGAAAAAGTAGGTCATGACAAGGCCTTTATAAGAATATCAGCAATCTGATTAGCAGAGCAAACATATGGAGTAACAATCTCCTTAGACCGCCACATATCTGAAATAAAAGTGACAGTCCACGTCAATATGTTCAGGGTTTGAGGTTCGGTTCATGATAAGATTCAAAATGATTCAGGTCAAGATTGTTATGTCAATTTAATTTGGCCCAACGGTTTTAGTTTTCAGAGAGGTGTTAGTGTTGATAAAGGTTAGCTCTTTTGTTCTATTTGGTTTTGTGATAGTTTGAGAATTGGATGATTTCTTCTGCAGGATTTGACCTTTCATAGGAAGCTAAAGATTGTTGCTTTGAGACTTTTACTTTGTTGGGAATTGGATTGGATTGGACTGGACGTGGTGCTTGTTATAAAATTTGATTCTGGTGAAGGTTGGATTCAAGTAAGTGATTGGTCAACTTTGTTGAACTAATTGAAGGAGTTGGTGGCAGTTTGAGATTCCCTTTTAGGTGGTATAAAACATAAGTATGAGATGATGATGAGATTCAGGCGATTGCTTTCGCAACATCCAGCTCACTTTCATATAATGTATCCAAACTCGCAGTTGTTGATCACTAACTTGCATTATCTTATTATCATAAAGAAATTAGATGATACTTGAATTCGTAGTAACATCCTGTAGTAGCGAAAAATCAATAATCTAACAAGTTAATCTGTAATGAAGTTTCTAAATCTCCCTAATCATCAAAGGAAAGCCAAAAAAACTTATTTATCACTGAATGCTCCATAGAAAACCATTTAAAGGTCTTTGTATTTAAATACAAGTTAGAAATCTCTGATTAACAAAAGTCGGGAGTCTTTGCATACAGTCCATAATATTTTAGAAAGGACTCATAATAATCTCGTGTGGGATCAATAATTTTCAAACTACTAATATACGACATACTAAGCAATCATGTGTTTCTCCTCAATGGAAATATCCGAATAGAGCCACTGGGATTTTGCTCCAACCTGAACAATCACATGGTTTCTTAAAACAGTATAAAAGAATAAAGTAGTTTCACAAATCACTTCAAAATAAAAACCCTAAAATGTTCACTGCAATTAAAGAGGATAAGAACCTCACAGTGCCACATCCAGGGACCAATATACGCCCTTTCGGAAGTGTTCCTGTCTGAAGGAGATGCAAAACTACAGGTGTTGGTTGACCCAGATCCCATGGAGTTACTCCTTCCTCCCAGCATTTTTCCCAGCCATCTGACAATTTAAAAACATAAACTCACTTGAGGCCAAAGTTTTCAGTTAGAGACCTTCATTAGTTAACTATTATCAATTACAAGCAAAACACAGTGATCATTAAATCCAAAAAATAAACTTTATAAATGATAGATATATAAACAAATCAATTTAGTCATTATAAAAAGCAAAGGACCACCAAAATATTAAAAAGGACTAATGTGCTCATCTTGAGCATTTTTTCCAGGTTAGTCCTCTAATGATACCTGTCAAGGACTGTGGAATCAGATACCAATTAGAGAGAAGACCAACCACTTTCCAAGTAATAGAATTGCTTGCAACATTATCCTAATTTGCAACTGCCCAAGGCTGGTGCTAGTATCAAATGCTATGAAGCACGGACACGAACACGGCGACACGGACACGACACGGACACAGACACGGCAAAACCCAAAAAAATAGGATATGGCAACACGGCTAGATTTTTTAATATTATTATTATATATAGATAAATTTATAAAATTTAAACAACAAACTAAAATGTAATCCTCAAACACAAACTACTAATTACTAAGTTGTTGCTCACTGACTTTGTTTTCTTTTTTACATAGTATACTTGAGAGTTAAGTAGCAACGAGCAAGGATGAAGGATCAATCAAATTTCCCAACATAGCTACCAAAAGAAATATTCATAATTCATTCATTAAATATGTATATTGCAGGCAATTGACCATGATAATGAGCTACATATAATATATTGCAGCCCAAATGATAAGCAGTGACATGCATTTTGTTGCAATTGACCATGATAAGGAGCTATTATTAGTCTTTGATCCGTCTTTTCATGAAATATTCAGCCATATTATTTTCTAAAATATCTTCTTTTAATTTTATGACAGGTAAAAGTTAATAGATATCATGTTATAAATCTTTGTTACTGTACAAAAAATCCGACTTTTAATTTTATACTCAATTGCAAGAAGCAATTTATGTCTTACAAAATTGAGGAACGCTTCAACAAAAATCTGTTATAAGTATTTGACAGTATTCTCTAATTAACAGTAAATTAAAAAAATAAAACCCTAATTAATTAATAGTAAATTAATGGAACCCTAATTAATTAACATTAAATTAAAAGAAAATAGTAAATAAAAATGTAACAATAGGAACCCTAATTTAATTAACAATATATTCATATTAAAAAATTTAAGTGCATATATATAAACAGGGAGATTGAGAGATTGAGAGAGAGACGAATTCAGAGAGAGAGAAAGAGAATCGGAGAGAAAGAAAGAGATCAGGAGAGAGAGTGACGGATTCAGAGAGAGAAAGAGAGAGAATCAGAGAAAGAGAGAGATCGGGAGAGAGACGAATTCAAAGAGAGAAAGAGAGAGATCGGGAGAGAGACGAATTCAAAGAGAGAAAGAGAGAGAGAGACTGACTTAGCGTCGAGAGACTGGCAGCGTCGAGGATGAGGAAGAGCCGATCTCGAGCTCGAGAGAGACGAGGACGAGGAAGAGCCGATCTCGAGGGGGAGAGAGACGAGGACGAGGAAGATAGACTGGAGGCGTCGGGACGGTAAGAAATGAAATTAAGGTTTGGGTTTGGGTTTTGGGTTTTTTTTGTTCACGAACGAGTCGGGAACGAGTCGCTCACGAATTTGGGACGTGTCGGTGCGTTGACCGCGTCAGTGGAGTTGACCGCGTGTTCGACGCGTGTCGAACACGTGTCGAAAGCGTGTCTGCGTCCGACACACGTCGGACACGGACTCGGGGCCAATTTTGGCATGTCCGTGCTTCATAGATCAAATGGACAAAGAATAGAAAAACCAAAAAGACTCCAAACTCTATAAGAAAGAATATGATTTTTTTTTGGAATTAAATCTAAAATATTTGTCATGAAGCTTTGGTGCACGTTTAGGTCTCAACTAAATGCAGACCCTACTTGCGGAAGGGAAGGTTTCTCAATTTCCAGCTCTAAGCTCAATGCTTCTATGCCCATCTTCACTTGTTATTCCTTCACCATTTTCACGATAGCATCAAAGTCTTTACAACTCAAATTCAGATCAACTATAGAAACAACTCATTATGAAAATAGTTTTAAGTAAATTTTACCAAAAAATTATTACTGTCAATTTGACCACAAACATGTAATTATCAGTGCCCATTCCTGGCATTTAAAAGTATGGATACAAGAAGGACCATCACAAAAACTTCTAGTAAACTAGTAGGCCAATTGTTTGTTAAAAAAACTGTACTCACGGTTATACAGTTCTTACACCCCAAGCGTCCTATAGGTTTAAGTAAGAGTCTAGAAGAAGGGGGAAGACAATAATTCTCTTATAGGAGATCTGAGATGCGAGCCAAAAAGTAACTAACAGATTCCCAATTGAAATGGCTGCTCTTCGCAGATCAGGTTTTCAGAAATTCTTTTACATGGAAATTAGATGATCAGTGTTCTCTGATACACAGCTCCCCCGAGCTTATTATAGTACAAAAGAAAATTGAAATCATCAAACTCTCTTTCATCTAACAATCAATGGTCTACTTTGAGAGCATAGCCACATGAAGGAACTAGCTTGTCTGTCCTTCCTCTTGATACCAAACTGTCAAATAAAAGAATCTCCAAATTAGTGATTGTAATCTAAATCTGATGTAATTCCTTCATGAGCTTAGAAGGCTCATTATCATGCAAAAGAGGGCCATCATAAGCCACATTATGCAGCTCATAATAGAATGAACTCCTTTAATTGATCAACCATTATCAAAAGTATCTGCTGCTAAATTAATGAGAGCCATCTCATTCTGCATCAGCCAGATGTAAACTGATTTTCATCATCCTCGTCATGAAGTGCTCTGGCAAGAATCGTGACCACATTTCTCTAATTACTACAAATCTTCAATGCATTCAGAAAAATCAAAACGAACAGATACAAATGAACTTCATCACTGCCTCATACGTAACAAATATCTCGATTCTCCCTCTTTACCCAAATGAATAAATTTAACACACCTTTTCTTTGTCTAGTCCCAAGATAGTAAAAAAACATGAAATTCATTAAAAATAAAATAACTACCTTCATGACTCACCATGAGAAAGGAAATTAACTCTCCAAAATCTCTACCTAGGGAAAATATTGGAAATGCATCATTATCTCCAAAAAGTTTTATAGAAACACATCAATGTCAATAGAAAATGCATAAGAACGATGGCTATGACTATGGACTAAAATTAAATACACTCAAGAATGCTCAGTTCAAGATCAAGGCCTTAGAAATAGACAGCTTTCAAATATCAGAATGGGTTAACTTTACCTCGATGCTTAAAGCCAGTAGTTGGGCTCCACAAAATAGGTTAACTTTACATTGTAGTTTGCTATTTATAGTACTATTGACAATACCATTACCTTTCTTTTTTATCTTATTATTCACACTTTTCTGGTGTAAGTTCTCTTTTGGTAATCATTCAATTGGCTATATTTAATTTTAATAATATCAGAGGTTAGAATATTCTCTTCTATTTAAAAAGTGGACATGATTTTCTTAAAAAATATATACACATAGTAACAATAGTATATACTTCAGTGCAACTCAAATATTAGCTTGAAGCCATTTATAGTAAGGTCTTTTCTATGCCAGAATGGTGATATAGTGATTACACAGTCTAAAAGTCAGAAAAAAATTCTATAAAGAAAAAATAATTTAATATGTCAAATTAAGAACTAATTTATAAAATATACATGGGCAGTGCAGATAGCTATTGAAAATAAAGTATATATCTTCATAAAAATTTCATAGTGAGTGACCAACTACAATCATCCAAATTTAAGCATAAATAATTATTATTTTAGTTACTAATTTGATACGCATAACTATGGAATAAATCTCCAGCAAAAAATAGGAATTGAGATTGTATTGAGCTGTAGGTAAATAAATAAATGTTATTAGAGCTCCTCTTTATATTAAATTTAAAAGTAACTATTTAAATTATTAAGCACCAAATGTTAGCTCATGTGAGAAAGTAAAGTAATCTATAGTCTATATACATATATAGTCAATCAATCAAACGTATTAAAATTATAATGACCACAGTTAAAATTATATAGTGGGTTCACATTAAATATAATTTGTAAAGAATAGTAGTTAAAGTCAAAATCTTTTTAACCACTATATAGATTGTCTGAAAATTTTTGCATATATAAACTATACTATCTAGGAATAGTGACGTGCACACTTAACTATGATCTAATAATCTTAAGAACGACTTATTCTTCAATATCATTATTAATTGATGCATATGTGCATTACACTGAAAACACAATAAAAGTTTAGAAAACTACAAAATAAACACCCTCAAAAGTTTTAAAAAGTGTAAAAAAACACTCTAAAATTTATAATTTACAAATACACAAAACTATTAAACATTACATTGAAATCAATGAATTACAAAAAAAATCATTGAAAATTTTTAAACTTTGGAGGGGTAATTTTCAATGTACTAAACTTTAAGGGTATTTTTTATAAATTTTAAATTTAATAGATTTTCAATTAGTTATGTTCTTTTCAAAAAAGTTATGGATAATATTTACCATGAAAAGTTTTTCCTAAACCTATACTTTTAAAAGGTGTATGATATTTTTACAAAATTTTAATTTTCTCGGTGTTGTTAGTAATTTTGCATATTTATTTTAGTGTCTATAGGTTAGAAATTTTTATGGAGTTTTTTTGTAAATTATGAATTTTAAAAACTTTTTATAATTTTTTAAACTTATAGGCCTTTTCTACAAATTATAAATTATTTATAGACTATTAATATTTCCTATGTTTTCAATTTACTAATGAATTTTGAATCTTAAACGTTTGTTTGTAATTTTTAAAACTTTAAGGGTGTTTTCTATAATTATAAATTAAATAGAGAATATTTATAATTCCTATATTTTAATGTACTGTTAGGTCAGAAATTAGCAGAATTTTTGTAAATTTTATAATTTTGAGGGTTTTATTTTACAATTTGTAAAAAGTTCAGAGTGTGTATTGTAAATTCCATAACTTTTTGGGGGTTGTTTGTGTTATTTGTAGGTTTTTAGTATGTTTATAAGTTTGATATTTTCAAGGTTTTTTTTATAAATTTTAAATTTTTAGGGGTGTTTTTGTATTTTTTTTAAGTTACAAGATATTTTCTCCAAAGTCAAAAAACTTTTAGTTTCTAGTTAGCATATACTTTTCAGATTTCTCACTGAATTGAGATAAGTAAAATTTATAATTATCAAGATGCTTTAATAAAATTTTGAATTTGTAGGGGCGTTTCTGTAATTTAAAAAACTTAGAGAATATTTTTTACAAAGTCTAAAAACTTTTAGGTGTTGACTAGCATATATTTTTTAGATTTCTCTACGAATTAAAATAAGTAAAGGATTTGAATTATATAAAACGTATCTATTTTATCCAATAACATGTTAAGTCTCATTATGAATAGAATAAATTATTAGGTTACCAATTCAAAGAAGATAAGATAATTAGAATAAATTAGGATAACAATGTAATATTCAAAAAACCTAAGGGTAATATTGACTATAGAAAGATTTCTCGAACCCGTATTTTTAAAGGGAGTATGATTAGTAGTTATTGTCAATGTTACATTAAACGTTGGACGTTTCTAGACGTCGGACTTGGCGTTCAGCGCTTAGTCGCCTAGGTGGACGTCTAAGTGGTTTCTGAGTGTTTTTTTCTTTTTTCTTTTTTTAATTATGATACTTGAAGATAAATATATATATACTCAATCAAAGATGCATGAATACTAAAATACCAATACTATTAACTAAATTGCTTGGTTTACCAATTACAATAGCTCTTTGTATGTTTATACTTCTCAACTCAAGTTATAAGTTCATCTCAACAGTGAAAAACTCATTCTCAACTCAAATTACTGTTAACTTATAAGTTACTGTTAAGTTTAAGTTAACAATAAACTTAAACTTAAGTTTACTGTTAACTAAAATATTATTAACTTAAGTTTACTGTTTACTTAAACTTAAGTTTACCATCAACAAAAAACTTAATATTAACTTAAACTTACTTAAATTTACTATTAACTTACACTTCTTAAGTTTAAGTTACTGTTGATAACTAACTTAAATAGATATTTAAGAAGTACTCTTTACCTTGTTAGTAGTTACAGAAATCGAGGGAGCTCGGTAATGTTACAGAAGGCGTTAGGCAGACTAAACGTTTGAGCAAGTGCTTAGCGCATAGACCCCTAGGCGTACGCTTCGGCAGCGTCTAGGCGTTTTACTATTTTTAAATTATTTAATTAATAAATTGATAAAAATATGTATTAAATTCATATAATTTTTTTTTAAAAGATAGTAATCTTAGTTCCACAATAAATCATGCATACTTAGATACTAAATAGTCAAAATAATAATTAACAAGACTAGAGCCTAAGATGTTTTTTTTTTTAATTATAATAATTGATAGTGAATGTTAATGTTATAGAAAGCTTAGATGTCGGACTGATGTCTAGACGGATTTCTTTCTTTATTTAAGTGGTGATCGATGAGGTTTTGCTGAAGGTCGGAGGAGATAGTGGAAGTGTTCATATTTGGAGGTTAATGGAATTTGGAGGAGGTGTAAGCTACAACACATAAAATCACAACCAAAACCTACAAGGTGCAATCCACGTAAACAGATAATGCTCTCCTACACGCTCGTAAAATCTAGGTGGGCAGCCTAAATACCGTCTAGACGCTAGGCGCTAGTTAGGCGGTCTAGGTACCGCCTAGGTCTAGGCGTACGCCTAAGCGGACTAGGCGGAGGTTTTTTAAAACAGTGGTTATTGTAATATAACATCAAGATTTCTACAAAAATTAATTAAACCCCCATTTAGAATAAAAAAACAAACCAGAAAATCTACTTGATGTCTCAAGAAACAAAAAGAAAAAAAAACACTAACATCCTTTATTTCTACATTTATTATCTTTATATGTTGCTCCCTATATTCAGATAATCTATTTATCCATCAACTGAGAATACCTAAAAAGTCAAGAAGAAGAAAAAGATCAAAATAGAAAAGAAAACATTATTACTAATTAAGTGATTAGGTCATAGCTTTACCGTGCATTCCCTAACACCAACTCCCCCCCCCCCCCCAGAAAATTTTCTACGGTTACCTAGGAACCAATTTTCAAAACATTTGCAAACAGATTCCCTCTGATACACGAATTAGTTCCCTAAAATTGGTGTACCACTTACAAGTATGTGGGTGCAAAGTCTCTTTAAGTGCATATGTGCAAGACGCAACACAATGTTGTGCAATCAAGTAAAGGAAAACGCATAATAGATAATATAAGCCAATTACTTTATTGCAACTAACTACTTAAGTTATAAAACGTAAAATGAAATGGTGATCCCAACAAGAACCATGTTAAAAAAAACATAACAAAGAAATAAACTCCATTAAGAAGAAATATTTAAGTGCTTTGTATAAAAATATATTGAAATGCATAATTAGCTGTCTAGTTTCTAGTTTTCTACTATATACTTTGGAAATTTTTAAGCGTACCTGAAAAAAGTTTACAACGTACCACTAACCAAACTTGCGTACCGAAGCAAGCTAACCCCCACTCTCATCGAATCCAAATTTTCTAGGTGGCAAATTACGTACTCAAATGCGTACCTTGACTTGCTACGTACCGCGTACTATATAACTATGGATTAGGCAATCTCATCACAGTCCTAAAAACGTGAGTTATCCTACACCAAATATGTATTACAATATATTTTGTAAATTTTTGTACTAGACTCAGAAATATATAACTA